CAACACGGGTGTCGTTAATGAAAAACTCCAGCAACCTTTAAATATCAACCTCAGAGAACTTTTATGTAGAATAAGAGTGATTCTAATTTAATTGATGACCATTTAGATCTGAAAATGTTCGAGTTTTATTGAAAAAGCGATTATTTTATCTATAATGAATCTATAATGAAAAACGAAGATAATAAACAGCAATCTACAGTGGCTGCAAAGATATTGTTGACAACATACACGAACGATCATTTTACACCAACGATTCCGCACGATTAACGCACGATTAAACCTGTTATATGATCCTTCACGCACATGATTCTACATGTTACACGATCTTTCACGATTGCTAACGCACAACTCTTCGTGCAAAATCAATTAAAAATATTTAGGAGCGGATATTTTCAGAAAGAAATAAGACTTAATATAGTTATTTTAGATTACGAATAATTATTGATGCGATTCGTCGACTTTGGAAAACTGAAAAAAATATATAGAAATGTATATTTTTGAAACTAAAAAAGACTTAATTGTTATTTGAGATTATAACATATATATTATTTATGCAATTCTCTTACTTAGGAAATTGAATTTTTTTATCTTTTCGATACGTAAAGATGTAATTTATGATTTGCTGCATGTTCTATCAGATGATATAGGTGGACCATGAGTTTTGATTCTATTGGATTTTATGGTATACAGTAAGGGGTGATAAAATTTAAGAAAAAAAATGGCATAAAAATGAATTAAAACTATATCTATCTTTCCATTTGTGAATCTCTAAATCTTAAATTTTACAATTAATTCATTTGAAGAAATTATAAAAATACAGTAAGGGATAAACACTGATAAAAGTAGCCACGACAATCATGTTGTGTACATTCGCCAACTAAATACATGTATTTATGGAAGCATTGGGAGTTATTTATTTATTTATTGTAAATATTTACATTTTCGTTGTATTGATATTAAAACTATCTTGAGCACAGTTTGTAGTAAACATAATTAACATCAGAGAAAAAAAAATCGTTAAACATGATATTGTACGACCTACTATATTATTTATTACTTATTTACTAGCTCGTTTAATAGTTCGTTCAATTATGTAAATCGCGCGCTTCATTTCTTTTATTTCAAGTAAAAAAGAACAAACAAACGAAATGCTTCTTTAAAAAATTACATTCAGATAAAAACTTACAAAACGAAATTTGCATGTTTCTTACCGCACGATCACACAGGATTTAAACCGCAAACGATTAAACCTGATACACGCACGATCTCTCAAGTTACACGAACGATCATGCACGTTTCACGAACGATTCTACACGATTGGTTTGTCAACAATAACGTTGCAGCCACTGTAGCTCAAAAGTCCATTGAAACAATACAGATTGGAAGCAGAACAAACAATGACCTCTAAAAAACATTGAAGGTTGCACCAGGTGTCATGGAGGAGCAAGCATCTTCTGCCACACCCACCGTGCGCTCACTGCTACGATAGGGCAAACTAAAAAATCTGCAGTCAATTACATGTATGTGTAAGAATAATGGCCTAACAATGGCCTTACAATGAAGGGCATGTTGACGGACTTTCTTAGGGTTTTAAATACTTTTTTAAAACGTATCTTTTCTATATTATTTTATACAATCTTTACATTGTAGATATCCACAATATTATAATGAGCACGAAACATATATAAGTTTTACATAAAGTCTGAGAATGACTTATCGTGTCCTAAATATGTTTAGATATTCATTTTTATGCAAGTTTGAGAATGAGTTATCTTTCAAATTCTTGATTTTTGTTTTTAATATGCTGCTTTCTTTTTGAAAATATTCTTTTGAGGAGGTTCGTTTTTCAGCATTTTATCAATTTTTTGTCGAAACATTGAGTCTGCCAAATTTGCATTCTCTTCTAATTCTTGCAATAATTTGGACGCTAGGATGCCAATTCAACTATATTAATTAAAAAAGGGCTAAATTCCATAAATAATGCTTTACGTGAGGTACTATGTTTTGCGGAGGACGTTTTTCTAGAAGAAAATTATATTTTTTTTCTATTTCAAAACGTCTTCAGTACTGTTAAGTGTGGTTGCTTTGACTTCGATACATACCACAGTAAGAGTTGTTTTTGAATTGAAATATTGTTTGTTGGTCATGGATTACATATTAGACAGATATTTTTTATGAATTATATAATATAATTTAAACATCATAGAAAAAATCCAAATATTTGCAGATCTAGATATATAGAATAAAACTATATTTGATGCCATGATTCATTTGGATTAGAAATATTTGAAGAAAAACTTCAATTGAATAATTCATGGGTAAGTTGCAATTGTAGTGCAGAAAGGTCATATTAGATTCATCATAGCGCCGAAGGAAGCAAGTTACTCCCCAATTTTGTTTTAATTTTTAATTAACTTATGTTTGTCTGTTTGTTTGCTTGCTCATTGTTTAACGTCCCTCTAGAGAATTTTTAACTCGTATGGAGATGCCACCAATTGCCGGTGGGTGGACAGCTGCAAATTTTGACTTTTATTCGGCACTTAGGGTCATTGATCAGTGAGGGATCTTTTTCGTGCCAGCGCCTACTGCGACACCGGCCTTCGGTTTATACGGTCTCATCCGAAGGACAGGTCTCCACGTCTCATAGTGGGATTCGAACCCGCACCGTAAGGATCAACTCCTTACTCCGCTCTCTAAAGCAAACGCTCTAACCACTGCGCCACTCGGGCGAAAATTAACTTATTTAATATGTAGATTTTGAAAAATGTACATTGCAATAAAACACTCAAAAAGAAGAACAAAACTAAGTAATATAATAATTTCGATAACAGTTAATCATTAAACTTGATATTTAAAAACACAATCCAAATTTGCGGTCAGTACTCACTTCGCGGATTAATAAAAAAAAAAAAAAATACACCATACCTTTTTAACATGTTTTTTGCCTGAACTCTCTAAGTTGTCTGAATCTATAATGAAACTTTTCTCCTTTATAGCTTAATCATTGATAGAAAAAAAAAACCAACAGTTTGATATTAATCTACATTTATCTACAATCATAATGCATTGGTTCACTTGTTCCACAGACCATTAAACATGTTAAACTAATGTATATCGTGTGGAGTTTAATATAAAGTTTGAGATGTGCAAGTGCGTAAGTGTGTTAAAATTCTAGAGTTGAAACACTTCGGTTGTATTAAAACAGTACTTACAACCAAACACATATGTTCTGCTCATTTTTCCTCCAGTAACTACAGAGTCTCACTGTATTCAGCCAATCATTTAAATTTATGAGTAATAGCATAATTGTTACAGCTTGCGCTGTTGGGTACCTGAACAAGGAATAAGACCATCCCGTTCTAAGTCATCCACAATCTTCCAGAAACCCTTCTTTTAAGTGCATATTAAAATATAGATGAAGTGTCTAGGGTTTTTATAACACAGATTCGTCTTTGCATGGGAACCCTTTTCTAAAGGCGTAGGCGAACAATACATAGACAGAACGTTATAATCCATAGATTCCACTGCCAAAAAGTGGAAACGCCGGTCTCCCAAATCTTCAAAAGATTCGTTTCCAGTGGGGGTATTTTTGAGTTAATACACAGTTAAATACCTCATTCATAGCCATTTACAGAGGATGGCACTGTACGAAAATCGAGAATTATCACATGAAAGAATAGTTAATATTATCAGGTTCATGTCAAAATAATAAGAAAATATCTCTTTTTAGCGACAAAATTCATATCGTTATAAGGAGAAAATCTCGAAAATATGATAATTTGTTCCCTGTTTTTGAGATTCTATGTACATTGTAGCACTAACGATAGATTATCGTTATAACAAGGAAAGATCATGTTATATAACGAGAAAACAATCTTGTAAATACAAGAAATGATCTAGATAAAAGAAAAACATTTCTCCCATTTTACAATAACGAAATGATTTCTTAATGGTACAAGGTGATATAATGAGATCCTCGTTATAATGAGATCCTTCCTGGTACGGACCCTAAAATATACTTCTACATCTCAGAAACGAAATGGACAGTGCCGTTCACAATACGAAACGAAACGTACCATTCAAGAAACAAATCAGTAGCGTTCTAGAAACGTACCGCACCGCTCGAGAATTATAAATCGTAATTTTGCAAGCCAGGTCCCTATAGCGTAATTATGGAAGAACTAATACAGATGTTTTAGAGGAATTTCATAAAATATAGTGTCAATTTCTTATTTCCATGGAAACATTAAGGCTATTCTAATACCTTTTCCCTTACTTTTCTGCCTTTAAAGTCATACATGGCATATTTTCAAAACGTTCAGACTAACTAAAGTTAAAAAGATCTTTCTATTTGTTTTATGACTTTATATAAATATAGGACTTTCCTGTGAATAACAATCATTTTTCTGATCACAACGAGATTTTATATTCGTTATTATATATTCTTTATATTCTTGGCTATAAGTCTCCAATTGAGACTCCTCGACCTTCGAACAATCGTGGATATTATTGACATAACGTATGTTATATATAAGTTCTTCTCAATTATTTTTTGACAGGGATTTTTTATTTGTAATTCATAATAACATTACATGTTCAGGTTATTTTTTAAAGTGTGAAATACATGTACAGAAGGTCATCTTTAAATTAAAATAATGTTTGTTTGCCCTCTCCCGACTCAGGGTAAAGAATTTGGTCGGTAAGTAGGTGGGAATTTTTTCCTAAGAAAATTTACATATTGACGGGGGGAGGGGGGGGGGGGATTCAGTAATAAGTCAACCCATTTTAGCCAGTCGGTCGGGAGAGAGCAAACAAACATTTTATTTAAAAGATGGCCTGATTGATTTAAGATGCTTAGCGATGTTTTTTCATGATTTTATACGTCTTTAAAAAAGTCCATTACTGAGTATCATTTTTGCAAATCAAATTCAAGACATAAAGATCATAAGTATTTACAAACATATTTTTTCTCCTTTCTAATAAATATTATAAGAAGAGAGTTAGACTAATAATTTACAGACGCAATATTTTTTCAGTTCATAGTTATTCTTGATACAAGATGACTGGTTTCCATATATATTTATTCTGCTAATGTCGCCTTCTACTCTCCGAATATGCAGCCTTTCATCTTGAAAAATGGTTGCTTCAAATAAAGCATTCCCTGGGTTTGTCTTAATTTTAATCTGATAATGATTTTGAGTTTTTACTTTCCCTGATTTCTTACTCACATAATCCAGAACTCTGTCCGATATTCGTAATCGAGATGCACTTCTAATTTCTGATAAGCCTATAACTTCACATTTGTCTCGAGAATCTTTTAACTTATCGTTAATACTTTTGACAAGAAATTTAGCAACATTAATTATTATGGAATCTGAAGTGCTGACTTCCTTACGTTCTGCGCATGCACACCAGTGAGGAAGGATACCAGCTTCAGCACAAGTTCTCGACTCCGTAATCTCTCGAAATAAACTAACACCTCTGCTTTGATCTTTTCTTTTTAGTATATCGTCATCAAAATTTAAGACGTCTTTGAGAGTTTCATAGATATCAAACGGTGTTGAGAGGCGGTTGGCGTTTTTCCTCAGGTTATTCCAAAGAAAGGAGTACTTTTCTTTAAACCACGGAGGAAATCTTAAGAACATCATCGGTAGCCGTTCCTCCATCATACCAATGTACGTATCACGTACTTTCCCAAACCGCACTCCATGATCACTGAAAATAATCAATAATGTATTATTAAGCAGCTGACCTTCATCCAGATCTTTTATGAAATTAAAAAGAGGCAAATCTGCATATTGAGCATAATAAAAATCATCATGGGTCAATCTTGCTATGAAGGAAAATGCAAAGTATGGCTCGTGTTTGTGAAGGTGTGCAAAACCAAAAGTGTAATCTAATATATAAGCACTTTCCAATCGATTTCCTACACACAGTTCATCAGTATTCCATAATTCTCGTTCTTTATCCATAGCGACAGAGAAATGCCTATTAAAATAATCTGTGGGATATCGGTGAAACCCCTTTTTTGCATAATCAAAAGTACCCATGTTTGGAGCATCTTCGGCAAACAACGTTCGATAACCCTTCATAGAAAATTGTTTCCAAATGAAGTTGTATTTGTCAAACGGTTCATTCGAGCCAACTGATTCATTGTATGGCATCTCTTCGATAAACTTCCCCAATGTCATGGGTACAATATTCACAAAGGTATTATCGGCGACTTTGTTATACAATGTAAGTTCTACAGCACCAAGTACATCAAGCAGATAGGCCCTTGTTCGCTTAAGTGATCTTATAGACTGTAACCTGGAAACAGAGTCAATGCCTAAGAGGATCACATTCATTGTTTCCTTTACTGTTTTGTTGTGTAAGTGTTCCTTAAAAGCTTTGTTGCATCTCATCTCAACTTCCTCTTTTAATAAAACAAACTGATGAAAACTTTGAAATACAACTTCATGGCTGGAATTATAGCATTGGACTCGAATAAATTCATCTGCAACATCAATGGACTCAGTAAATCGGACACTCTCTTGTCCATACTCAAAGTAATTGTGATCAGTTACTACCGCCGGTCTACTTATAGGCTTGTAAGTACAATATGCAAATGTGGAAGATACATTTGAAAGTTTAACAGCAGTCCAATTCACTGAAAGTCTTTGACCATTCTCATATATAATTGACTCATATTTGCATTTGAGTTCTGTTTGTCCGATAATTGGCTTTATGGCAGGGTCATACGGATTCAGATAGGGTAATTTACAAACACCAGATCTGTCATACTCTTCATGAGAGGATGTTTTTCCAGATTGTTCTTTCTGTCGTTTACCATGTACGTTTCCATGTTTGGTTGCTGTGTTTTCAACACTGTGGAACAAATTGTGCATTTCTTCTGTGCTCATTTGTCTTTCTGGTTCGATATGTTTCACTTTTGCTTCAGTTCTTCTTAATTGATGATAAGGACTAAGATCCAGTTTATCCGTACGTGATTTATTTGAAGCAATCATTGTCAGTGGTAAAACTTGCAACTGTTTCAGTCTGTTTAACTGTATACACACGAAGACACATCCCAAACCCAAGATGGCCAAAAGAGAAGTCACATGATAATTTTTCGTTGGTATTCTAAAGAAACAATAAACGTAGTTCAGTGAAAATATATAAAAAACATATTTTAAAATCAGAAGCATAATAACAGATAAAAACAAGCACTTTGAAGTTTTGTATGAGTAATATACTAGTCCCCTACGAACAAGTGTAATCTGGCTCCCTATAAAAACAAGAAAACATTGATGTAACCATCAATTGTCGCCCGGGAAATAAATAAAGTAAACAATGGAAATGAGTCTTGATCATCAAACCGCTTCGATATGTGTGAAAAAGGCATGCGTCTAAATGATGGAGACGATAGTCGAGAATATTTTGAAAACTTATAGTCGGATGAAAATCGAACAAAAACGATACCCTTTTAAACTTTATCAACTCCTCAAGTAAATGGTGGCTGCATAAAATATAATTGAAACCAGACACATGCATCACCTATTTTCAAAAATGTCTTTCACTTAAAGAATATAAAACACGAACTGTGTAAAAGTATTTTTTACGTTTTTATGCGATAAGTAAAATTCGATGTTCTAAAAAAAGGGACCTGTCGTTTTTTCGATAGTAAATGATAAGCAACTTTATATATTAAATATGAAAAACATATATATTTTTACAGATTCACTTTATGGAAGTAAATATATTGTGTATCTCGTAATTTATAAAGGGAAAGAACATTCTGATTAACAATCTTTTTAATGTTTAGAAAACCTTTAATTCTGAATAACTTCTCCCACCTCAATCCCCATATACCAACACTTAAACTTATATGTATAGAGCAGCCCGGTCCTCCGGGCTGCAATTAAAAAAAGGCCACAAAAATCATTAAAGCGATTAATTGATTAATTGTATGTTGTTTTACGACACATTCGAGAATTTTCACTTATATAAAGATCGTCACCATATACCGGTGAAGGGCTTCAAATCTAAACCTATACTCGGCACTCAGTGACATTCACGAAGCGAGCGCCCTACCACTAGGCTACCTTTATCAAAGTGAAACGAAATGTAAACTTGATTTGTACCTCATCAAGCTAGACTCACAATTCGAAATCTGCAAGCGTGTAGAAAAAAAGTTCAGAAAACCAAGAGAAGCAAACTGACAGACAAATCTAGAAGGACGGACAGATGGACAGACGAGGAGGAAACATATAGCCCCCCTCCGATTTCACCTGAAGGTACTAAAAACGATGAAATTTCTTTCAGTCATATATTTATATATAAATATTCTAATTAACTTGCAAAACTTCTTGTATCTGCACACTGCCCTTGAGCAATCCTGACTGAGAAAAAACTTGTATTTTTATGAAACTCGATGAAATTTTACATTATGAAGAAATGAGAGAATGCACGTGATTGCTGAATCACTTGAGTTTCGAAAAATTAGGGGAGAGCGAAGGGTCCAGCTACTGACTGATTTTAGACATAATTTCTGATGCATATTTAATTAGCTGGATATGATATTTCATTTCTTGTCATGGATTGCTAACCACGAATTCATTGAATCATCCAGAAATGGTAGAATTTCTAATTTGAAAAAAAAAAAATACAAGATGTCTTACAGATATTTATAAGTTGCTCATATATATATATATATATATATATATATATATATATATATATATATATATATATATATATATATATATATATATATATATATATATATATATATATTAAAAGTAGGGATTCAATTTGAAACCTTTTAACCGCTTACTCGGTCGGAACAATAGTAATCAGTTAGAAAAGCTGTTAGTCGGGAAAAATGAGATATGTGCAATTCCTGAACATTCAACTTAAAAAATACAAATAAAACTTTCTGAAATGTAAGCATTTTCACTTGTCTGTTTAAGCTGATTCTCTCCGGATTGCCATCGTGGGGGTACATGTAATTGGTCAGGTTTCGAGATATAAATTGCTGTTTAAATACCATGTCTTACTCAGCCTGCCATGTGTTTCTTTCATAATTTTGATAAAATGATAGTCGAGTACTATATCCTTTAAAGTTATCTATAAAATTATGTTGTTAAACACACAATTTTAATTAAGCGATAGTTCACATTTCTGTCTGATTATAGTAACATGGGGACAATGCAGAATGAACTTTTTTCATGTATCTGCTACTTCAGACATGTTCCATGGAGTTCCTAATTTTTTCTATTAAAATTGAAAATAAATCATATAAAGTTTTCTGATCAAATATGTTACTAACACCTTTATAGTCTCCTTGTTTACATGAATAGAGATTACAATTATGATGAAACAATCAATGCTTTTTTATACGATTAACCGATTATTTGGTCGGAAGTCTTGTGGTTAACCGATTGGCAGTTCTGTATTCGATTGCCATCCCTATTAAAAAGTGTACTTAGTTCTATAATTATTGTTAAGAATGACATTGCTGTTGTGCATAATCATGAGGCAATTTTCAAATTTAATTATCACGTAATTTTTCGTCAACTTGAAGGCAAGAAAGATTGAATATTCAAACATAAATGTTTAATGAAGAAATATGAACAGTTAACAAGCTTAAAAGTCCATTGAAACAATACACATTGTGCGTAGAGCAAACACAGACCTCGAGAAACATCAGAGGCGGGATCAGTTTACTGCCTAAGTCTACATGAAATTCATTTTGTAAAAGCTATCAGGTATAATTCTATAATAATTATATAAAATTGCTTAAGACATCTAGAAACTAAGAGTAAAATAATTTAGATGTTTAACGTTAACATGTTCTTAGAATGTTAAGAAATGTCGAACTTTAATGGTATGTTCATTTACTAATTTCTCAAATTCTCCCTTCTAAAGCCTTAAAATCTAAATTCTCTGATTAAATAACTTGAGTCAAGTTCAATAATTATGCAATTTCGTTGATATAAGTAAGGACTTACCTTGCGAACATAATTCATGCACTAAGGCGATTCCTACAATAATAAGATAAACAATTTTGAATATATGCTCGTATATAATTCACCTTTTTTCGGTTAATAGGACAGATTTGCATAGTGATACAGGTATAAATAAATCAGAATACATGTATTCTGTGCTTCTGTACATATCAATTATAAACATTACCTGCATTTGGAACCACAATTTATTTTTCTTTCTTACAAGTTTCGTGACAATTTATCTTTACACCTAAAGAAAAAATATTCATAGCTTGAATATTTTTGAACATTTTATCTAACCATATTTAATAGCTTGAAATATATATATATATATATATATATATATATATATATATATATATATATATATATATATATATATATATATATATATATATATATATATATATATATATATATATATATATATATATATATATATATGTGTGTGTGTGTGTGTGTGTGTGTGTGTGTGTGTGTGTGTGTGTTTTAGAACCAGAGGCCAGGGCTATCCCTTTAATTAATCCTAATTAAAGTCTCCCTCCACTTATCTTACTTTACGTACATTGGTGGTTAGTTAGTTCACCCTACTCCTACATGTAACTAACTCCGCATTTTCTTTCGAGGGGTTGACAGGCAAATCCTTCATCCACGAAGTGGTTAGGGTGATATCTGAGAATGCAAGATAAAGAGAATGCAAACTCCTGTGTATTGTCAGAAATAGTACCTTTTAATTTTCTGAAGGCCTAATATACACATCTCAGCACATTTAAACATACTATCCACAGTATATCACCACTTTCTTCAAACTGACACTGTACAGAAAAAGATATCTTTCTAGAAATCTGTTCACCTTTGATTTAAATTTATAGTGAAATTAATGTGCAATTAATTCTTTTAATGTTGGTAGACGGTGTTGATAGTGTTAGTCTTTTAGTGGTGAGTCTCTTATAGAAACGTTAAATGTGGGAGCGAAAACAGTTCTACATGTAATTGGTTTTTGTTACATTTAGCTATGTTTTCGTTCCTCCGTGGCACCTGATCCCACCTCTCATGTTTTAGAGATCCGTGTTTGTTCTGCTCCTGGTTTGTGTTATTTAGATGGGTTTAATGGGATGTAATACTGTTCGTTATCTCCATAAATTTCATTTCAGAACTAAATGTAGTTAACCATGACTAATACACTACAATTTTTTTGTAAATAAAATGAAAATTAAGCATAAATAGTTGTATGAAATAGTCTTTAGATACATGTACGTAATTGCTGGAGGGGAAAAAAATAGTATAGGTAAAAGTTTTTGTTTTGTATACCTGAATAGTACGTATATACACGTATATGAGGGGACCTTAAAAACTAATCAATTTACTTGCTAAGTTCAAAAAAAAAAAAAAAAAAAAAAAAAAAAAAAAAAAATTCTCGGTCACCTGAAATATGTTAAATTTTCACATTTTGAAAATAAATATTTCTAGAGATTCTATTAATATTCTCTTTTAATATTTTTATATTTAATATGAATCACATTTGTAGATATGTCTTTTTCCCTTAATTCAATTTAGGGCTTTTTTGCAAGTGTGTTGAGATCGCTAAAATTAAGCTTGGCAAAAAATTTATTTCGCATTAGACGTTATCCTTATCTTTCTATACACCATAAAATCGCTAAAATTACTTCTCGCTAAAATTAAATACTGATTTTAAGGGCAAATTGCTAAATTTGTGTCTCGCTAAAAATTCCACTTATACGGTATACAACACAACAGACCATGATATTAAGATCATGTTGGGTGATATGAATGCTAACGCCGAAACAAATAAAAATTTATGCAACAAAGTAATGGGAGAACATGGATGTGAAGCCATGAATGAGAATGGAGGGAAATCCTACAATAATAAGACAAACAATGTTTTGTAACACCATATACGTAATTGGAGGAACAGTACGTTAACCTGGCACTTTCCAAACATGAGAGAAAAAAATCAATTGATCATATCATGCTAAATGGAAAATAGAGACGAACTT